AACTAAGCAAGATGTCTAAAAGTAAAGGTTAATTATATCCATAATTAAAATCATGTAGGGCCATGGGTCTCAAATGAAGATTCTTATATTGGCTGCAAGACAGTCACGAAACATTAGGTAAAAACCGATTCCCAAGCTCAACCTTTTGGGAAACCTAATCAGAATCTAGAACCAGAATCTCTCAATTGGAGTTAAGAAATAGAGTCTCTGTTTTCTAACGAGAACCCTAGGTGATTTCAGTGCACAGCCTGAACCACTGTTACATGGCTCTCCAGCTATGCTTTGACTCTCAGTCACCTGAGCCAAAGGTTCTACTTACCTCTTAAAGCCAAGTGGAATGCCAACTATATTAAAATCTGTAGGAACCCTGGAAAACAAGGAAAGAAGATTTCAGAAGAACCCCGAAGCCCCCCAAAAAATCTGGAAGAAAGGAAAAGGTGAAATCAGATCATCCAGAAAGATAATTAGTGCCGAGTACCTAACACAAGTCAAGGAAAAGTCTTCTTCCACCCACTAGAAAAATTAGAAAATGAGTTTCCCCAGAAGAACAAAAGATTTTCCTAAAAATTGGAGCAGCAAGGCTTGGTTTGTAGGTGATAGTTACCTACCTTAGAGCTCACCTCCAGGCAGCATTTTGAAGGAATATCTCATGCGACAACATGGTTGGAACTAGAGGATATTATGCTGAGTGAAATAAGTCAGACAGAGAAAGACAGATACCATATGGTTTCACTTATATGTGGAATCAAATGAACAAACAAAACCAGACTCAGAAACAGAAACCAAAGGGATGGGGCTGGAGAAGGGGTGAAAAAGGTGAAAGGGAATATAGTCAACAACATTGTGGAACTTTACACGGGGACAGATGATTACTAAAATTAGGGGGGGTGATCCCATCATAAGGTATAAAAATGTTAAATCACTATATTGTACACCTGAAACTAATATAACTAATATAATATTGTATACCAACTATACCTATTGTAAAAACAAAAAAAAGAATCAGCTCATTTATAGTTTTAGTCATCATAGATGCTCCTGAGATGCCATTAGCAGAGGCCCCGCAAGTGAGAGGTTAAGGAACAAATAAGACTGAGGTGTTGTGCTACACAGAGTGGCGGTCATGGTGTTCACACTCTGACTTCACTTGGTACCTCTTGGGAGCCAGGTGGAGTTCAGAATACTCAATACCTCCCTTGAGTAGACCCAAGCAGCCTATCAGTTTCTGCCCCTGTACTTCCATGGGAAGCCCAGCTATTGGTCTCTCCTGAAAACCTCTGCACTCAGGGCAACATCTGCTGCCTTCAAAGCCAGGTAGCTCCTGGCTGAGTTCCTTAGAGTGGCACTGGGCACCGTTTTGAAAAGTTTACCACCTAATATACACACATGCACATTTTCACATACCCTTATTAATTCACAGGCCTATAGCTTTACTCTCTGATTTTGTTATTAATTGGATATAATGCAGCCCTCTTCACTTAGACTCCCTGCGTGCACCAGGCAAAAGATTGTAGCAGGCTTTCTGGGTCAATTTTTAGTATTAAAAATTAAAAGTTTTTAATTTTTAGTATAATTGCAATTAAAAATGATGCATACTTGTTGAAGGATTTTTAGCCAGTGAATATTTCATGTGGATTGTTAACCCCTTTCCCTTCTCTGAACTGCTCCTATGCTTCATGTAATCCTATACGTGAGTGGCATCTATTCTTGTCAGGTTGGGCAAAAGGTGGTCAGACATGGTAGACACACAAGGTTGAGCTAACAGGAGGACAGAACAGGCGGGTAGCATATTTCAAATCAGAGAACTCATGAAAACTCAATTGAGTTTGTTCACTTGGCATGTAATTATTCGATATTAGTTCAGTGTTTATTGAATGCCGTCTGTGTATCATGCTTTGTTAGTAGTGCTGGAGACACCATACACCGTACTGGGTAAGGTTTCTACTCTTCCGTAGTCTATATTCAGTGCTTAGAGAAGGATTACAGAGCAAGAAGATGCCTTGCACACAACTGCTTAGGCCCTGAGCAGTATATTTTTATAAAGACCCACAAATCCTAGAAAACATTTAGAAATCTAATTCTGGGATTTGGGCCTCAGCAGTAGGGAAAATGATGATGCCATTTGCTGAGATATTAATTAGGGAAACATTAGGGAATATATATCTGCTAATGAGATTCACAGAGGTGGATGAAAGCATCATCTAGCAAGACAGTACCATGAGAGGGCTGCCAGGACCAACAGTGAACTTCGTTTTAAAGGTCAAAAAGGGCCAGTGACAGAAATTGGTAAGTCGCAGTAGAAATGCAAAGTGGGTCAACACTGAGAAATCTGTAAGTGTAACTTAGGATGTGACAATAAAAGATCAAATTTATAGTTGACTAAAATACTTGATAAAATTCAACATCCTTTATAGTTAGGAAACAGGAAACATTTTTAATGTTAGAAAATTTATTAGGAACAAATATCCAATATCGTACTTAATTAGTAAAACACTGGAAGCTTTGCCATGAAAGTTAGGAATTAGAAAACAATTTTGAAAAATAGGTATAATGAGGGATTTGCCTTCCTAGATATAAAACCATATTCAGCTATAGGAATTTAAGTGAATCAGTATTAATTGTAAAATAGGTCGATAATCAAGGAATGAGCATATAACAAGGACATTTTGTGCTTTTTGCAAAGGGACCATATGTAATGTTAAACCAAAACCATATCAATTTTTTAATTCCTTTGCATTTCTTAGGAAAATAGTTTTTCCCCCTTTCAGTATTTTCTTAAAAGAATGCTATGGCCCTAAATAGGGTTTAGTTCCATTACCAGTGTCCCTTTTCAGAATTTCTAAAATGTTTCACTTTATGAACAAGCTGGGTTACTCATTCCCAGCACCTGTCACACAGACTCATCATCACATCTGGGAACACTTACACCACTTTCATTACTCACCACCCTCATTCAGAATGGAGGGGCTATTAATGTGATATATATTGGAGCTTCAAAATCTCATTTCCATGAGCAAATATTTCACAATAATAAGAAAGACCTGTCTTCCTTTCCTGAGAACCAATAAAGATGTAAGATTTAATTTATATATTATATAATTGTATCCATACTTATTACCACATTTAAAATGACAATTTGTTTATCCACTATGCATAAAGAGAATACATCTCTGCCTGAATGTTTCACTTTTTTCTATAAGCTTTAGAAGTGTAGCAGTAAGATAAACCAGGATCTTTGTAAGACCTTAGTAATTTTTGGAAACGGGAGGTCAGGGATGAGTTCTTAGGATTGAACCAGCCCTGCAGGTCCCTGTGCTTAGAGATGTGAAGGACATATTGGAGTCAAAGGTGACTTGTAGGATTTGGATTTCAGCTGCTGAGGGGATGGTAATGCCTTTACTGAGATATTAACTTGGATATTGTCAGTATATACCTGGAAACCAGGTCCATAGGGATGGTTGAGAGACAGAATATGGGGAGAATGCCAGGGCCACTGACAGACTCTAGTTTTAAAGGTCAAAAAGAGGGCGACGATCCCCAGCAAGAGAAACTGAGAAATAGCAGAGTGGGGAGGGCAGTATGGTGGGCGCCAAGGAAAAAGAGGTTTTCATTAAGGCAGAAAGCTCTTCAAGCTGCTGAGAAGCCAAAGGAAGACAACCAAGGAGTGTCAGTGAAAGTCCTTGCCATGGATTGGAGGTCATTAGTGACCTTGGCCGGAGCAGTTCCGGTGGAGAGGAGAGGGGCTTGTGGACTTGCACATTATTTTCTGAAATCTGGGATCAGCCTGCCTTTAGTCCACTTCCCAAGGCAGGGCTGTCTTTTCAGCATCGAGGGCAGATTCTTCATTACCAGACACTGCTGCTCTTCTAGTCTTAGAAAATTCGTCAGGAGAATGAGGCTATATAAATTTAAACGCAGCTAAAAATGTTAACACCGCTTGCTTTGAGAGAGAGTTTCCGTTTTTCTGTTTCCTGCCCTTCTCTGAGTAGTCTGTACAGCATGAGTCATCACGTCAGATCACGCTCGTCGATGGGGAAGCCCCTCTAAAATACGATCAAGTGGTATTGCTAGTAAACACAGACGGAGCGATTGGGATGAGCGGAGCACCATCACCGGGGAGGTGGTGAGCAGCGGTCGTTAGGAGGGAGCACGGACCACGGCAGAGTGGGTGGGGGAGTGCCTCAGACTGCTGTGTCTGTTGTCCTGACCCTCCGTGAGGCGCTATAATCTTGCTAAGGGTAGGCATATAGTGGGGAGTTCCAGAGCCTTTCCTAGGCTCATTGCTTGTGCGTATCCTTATGCCTAGAAGTCTCTTCTCTCCTGCCCCATCCCTTTTCTTTTTCATCTGTGAATTTCTACTGATCCTTCAGCTCTTAGCTTCACTTTCTCTGAGAAGCTTTCTCCCATCTCCCAGAATAGAACGAGTCTCTGGTTTTATGCTCTCTTAGCACTCAATTCATCGCTTCTGCAAAATTCTTGCCGAAATTGCGACAAAATTATTTCTTGTATAATTAGTTTGTCTCTCCTGTCATCCTGCCGTGGTGAATTCTCATTCCCAACATTACTCCTAGTGCCTAGTGACCCAGTGTCATTCGGTATTTGTTGAATGGAGGGATGCCACTGAAGACTCGGTAAATCCAAGAAGGAAAAATGGGCTGTGGCGTTTTCCAAACTTTGTCACTATGGAACTTTTCTTTCCCCTCTTTCATGTTTATTTTTTAGATTAATTTTAGAGAGAGGAAGAGAGAGAGAGTAGAGAGAAACATTGATGGGCTGCCCTCCCCCCACCCTGTACTTGCCCCAACTGGGAGATTAAACCCACAACCTGGTTATGTGCCCTGACTGGGAATCGAACCCGCCACCTTTTGGTGTATGGGATGACGTTCCCACCAACTGAACCACACCAGCCAGGGCTAACTAGATACAGTTTTGAAGTGCATTTCTTTTTTATGCCACATGATGATCATAGTTCAAGGAAATTGAAGTAATTGAGATATGGGACTATCTTGGGTAATAATGGCTTCTTATTTTGATTATTTCCCTTTAGGAAAGACACTGCTGATCCTGTAACATGGAGGATTGCCTTCATACCTCATCTGAGAATCTGTCCAAATTGGTCAGCTGGGCCCACAGCCATGGGACTATTTGCAGCCTCATTCCTAACCTGAAACACTTGCTTTCAGAAGGTTCCCATGGGAACCTGACGGCAATGTGGGGCTGCAGTGCTGGCCATGCTTATCACTGGCCACTGACAGCTACTTGCAGAGCTGGCTCCCAAGAAAGGGTCTGTTTCCAGGATAACAGAAGTTTTAACTCTGATAGTCCCAGTATAATCGGAGTGCCCTCTGAGACACAAGCTAGCCCAGTTGAAAGGTACCCTGGGAGACCAGTGAAAGCGAAGCTAGACTGTAATCGGACCAGAGACTCTTGTGACTTCTCTTATTGCAGTGAGCCCTCTGAACTGGACGAAGCTGTTGAAGAGTATGAAGATGAAAACACCCTGTTTGACATGGTTTGTGAGTCTTCTGTTACAGATGAGGATAGTGACTTTGAACCCCAAACCCAAAGGCCTCAAAGCATTGCTCGAAAAAGGCCTGGAATACTCCCGTCTTCTCTCCATTCAAGCTCCCAGGCTCAGATGGTTGATGAATGCAGCAATGATGTCATCATCAAGAAAATCAAACAGGAGATTCCTGAAGATTACTACATTGTGGCAAATGCAGAGCTGACTGGAGGAGTCGATGGACCAGCCCTATCATTGACACAAATGGCAAAACCCAAGCCTCAGACTCATGCTGGCCCCTCCTGTGTAGGTTCTGCTAAGCTAATTCCCCACGTAACATCTGCCATCAGCACAGAGCTAGATCCACATTGTGTGTCTGCCTCCCCCTCTGTGATGTCTAGACCAATCGTCCAGAAGAACGCCAGGGCATCTCTGGCTTCACCAAACAGAGGACCTTCTGGTGCCCATGGCACCAACCAGCAGGTGGCCATGCAGATGCCTGTGAGCACATCCCATCCTAACAAACAGATCAGCATCCCTTTGTCTGCCCTGCAGCTGCCTGGACAGGATGAGCAAGTTGCTTCTGAAGAGTTCCTGCCCCATCTGCCCAGCCAGGTGTCCTCCTGTGAGGTAGCCCTTTCTCCCTCAGTTAACACAGAGCCAGAAGTGAGCTCCAGTCAGCAGCAGCCCCAAGTTGCTCCAACCATAACCACTGAGGCCATGGCACAGTGCATACCAGGTATGGCATGTGAGGTGACAGTGAGTCCCTCGTCCATGTACATCAGAGAATTCTGCGCCGTCAGCACTTCTAAAACCATAGGCTCTGTTTTGCTAGAATTCAGGCCTTTATTATTCTCAGAAAGATAGAAATAATGAAATATTACATCCAGGTGATGCTATAAAGGAAATTCTTAATTAAGGCCATACATCCAGTTGGTGTACCTCAGGGCTGAGAGGACAGGTGTAGGATTGGTCTGATGATAACGCATGGCTGGATTTAAGGTTTGTATCTGATCTTAAGATTAATTTTTATATCATTATTTTTGGAAAAATCTTATGCCATCTTTTTAGTATGAAGGTATTTGGTTGCTGTTTGACGTCAAAATGACGTTGGGTTAGACATGTAATGACAGTAGACCTAGTGTTTTTCTATATTACTTATTTGTCTGAACCAACTTGGCATTTATATTTACTTTAGTTGGTGTGGCAGTTTAAAACAAATTTTTTTAAAAAACAAGCATTTCTGAAAGAAGTATTTGATCTCTCAAAGTTTAAAAGAATCAGATAGCTTGCATTTCTGCAATATATGAGTCTAACTGGAGTGGACTGAGAGGAGAGGGAAATAATTATCTGTAATTCTAACGTCTAACATTCTGTAATTTTAACACTCAGTACTTACTTAACCTGGGTTGTTATATAAAGGGAGTTTGGATGTCATGCTTTTAGGTTCATGATTCAAATCTTATAGAACAGAGTTGGGAAAATGGAGCAGGGTGAGTAGACATGCAGAGGGTACAGAAGGCAGAAAGTGGTGGCTTGTTTTGGTTTCATCTTATTCCCTCTCAAGAAAGTCATATATTTTGGGAAAAGCTTCCTAGAGGCCTGAGCTACCTATGCCTTTACTCTATAACTTTCTGGAATTAAGTTGCTTTACAAAATGCTTTCTCAGTGTTAGTGTCAACCTTAAGATCCCCAAAGGAAACCTTTGATTTATGATTTCCCTAACAAAGTTACGGTGTAATAAAGTACATAATTGAGGATATTTACATCTTGATTCGGAATCATGCTTTTCAGTTTATTTTTCTTTCATTTAAAAATAATAGCTTTCTTGAGTTATAATTCACATACCGTAATGTTCACTCTTTTAAAGTGTACAGTGCAGTGGTTTTTTGGTGTATTCACAGACTTGTGCAACCGTCACCACTATCTAATTCCAAAACATTCTCATTGCCCCGGAAAGAAGCCCTGTACCCATTAGCAGACAGTGTTTCCTTCTTCCTGGCTCCTGTCAACGACTAGCCTTTCTGTCTCCATGGGTTTGCGTATTCTGCACATTTCATATAAATGGAGTCATATTATGTAGCCTCTTAGCATAATTTTTTAAAGATTAATCTGTGTCATGGCATATATCAGCATTTCTTTCCTTTTTATTGTCAAATAGTATTTCATTGTATGGATAACGCCATGTTTTTTTTCCCTTTCATCAGTTGATGGACATTTAGGGTGTTTCCATTTTTTGGTTATTGTGAATAATGCTGTTAACATTTATGTACAAGTTTTTGTGTGGACATATATTTTCATCTCACTTGGGCAACTACCTAGAAGTGGAATTGCTGGGTTTTATGGTAACTCTATGTTTAGCTTTTTGAGGAGCTGCCAAACTGTTTTCCAAAGGGGCTCTACCATTTTATAACCTCACTAGCACTGTAAAAAAGGTTCCTGTCTCTCCACATGCTCACCAATACTTGTTATTTTCTGTTTTTAAAAAATTATAGTTATTCTACTTGGTGTGTTAAGTAACATCTCATTGTGGTTTTGCTTTGCACTGTGCCCTAGTGACTAATGATGTTGAACTTTTTTCCTGTGGTTATTGGCCATTCGTATATCTTCTTTTGAGAAATTCAGATTCTTTGCCCATTTTCTAATCAGATTTGTCATTTTATTGGTGAGTTGTAAGAGCTATTTATACATTCTGATTATAAGTCCCTTATCAGATACATGATTTGTAAATATTCTTTCCCATTCCATGAGTTATCCTTTTTTCCCTCCCCTCCCTTCTTTTTTTTTTTTTTACTTCAATCATTTAATAACAATATGGTCTTTAGCTAATCTTCACATCATTAGACACAATGTTATCTTTATTAGGCTGACTATCTGTCCTAGGAAAGCTAACTCTTGATACATACAGGATGTAAGTAGTACCTTTTCACTTAAATGGCTGTGAATCTGGTTGGTTATTTGTTTCTTCCCACCACCTTTTTTTTTTTTTTTTGTATAATAGGAGACTTAGCCTGACAGAGTTTCCTGCATTCTTACTTAATTTATATTGAGGGTAGAACTGTATTTACAAAGTGTGTCAGTGTTCCAAAACAGCATAGTGAGACGTTAATTGTATTGCACACCCTTCCACCAACTTTCCCCTACAAAGCAAGATGCAAGATTTACTTGCATCTGCCTAGAGGATAGTAAATGAGACATTGAGGCTTTTTATTAAACCAAATATGAGTATCTTCCTATATAATTATTTTGGAAAAGAAATTGAGCCTATTGGAAAAAATATTTTAATCTATTTATTGTCGTATAGGTTACATTTTCTTAAATTTTTCCCCTTCTCTCATTAAAATTGCACATTGTATGATAGCTATAAAAAGCAAACATTGCGTCCGGCCGGGCATGGCTCAGCGGTTAAGCGTCGACCTAGGATCCAGGCAATCGGGGTTCGATTCCCGGTCAGGGCACGTGCCCGGTTGCGGGCTTGATCAATGACTCTCTCATCATTGATGTTTCTGTCTCTCTCTCTCCCTCTCCTTTCCTCTCTCTGAAATCAATAAAGATATATTTAAAAAAAAAAAAAAAAGCAAACATTGCCAAGGATAGCACATAACATACAATCATAAACTATGATTTAGCTTTCCTCTCACAGGGAGAATTTGTTTAGCTTGGAGTTGAACCTTCAAGAAAAAACAGTATGAAGAACTGGTGATGGGAATTTCCTAAGGAATGATCCTGATATTTTGACCCATTGTTCTGTAGAAGGATATTATATTGCTAAGATGTTACTAGCTTTAAAGAAACACTATTTGGATTGGAAACATCAATGGGACAGATAAAAATCTGACATTTTTCTATGGGAAAGAGAGAAAGTTAATGTATAATTTACCTTTTCCACAGAGCTCAAATTAGTCTTTGTGCTATAAAAGTTTTATTTATTTGTTTTTGCATATTTATTTATACTAAGTAGTTGTGCTATGAAAGTTTTGTTTTTGTATATTTATTTATAAATAATTTTCATTCTAAACATAGATTTTTTAAAAATTTAGAATCCAGCACATCCAAATATATGTGAATAAATATTTACAGATGGACCTTACACAGTTAATATGTAAAGTATTACTTAGGACTTAGCAAAGAAGAGAGGTTCTGAAAGAACTAGCAGAATTAAGTACATTTAAAATGGATGTTATATAGGCTAGAGCCTTTATCAAATCATTGTCAAAATACAGCATCTCTTTGAATAATTTTTTAAAAAAGTATATCTTTATTGACTTCAGAGAGAGGAAGGGAGAGGGAGAGAGAGAGATAGAAACATCAGTGATGAGAGAGTCATTGATCAGCTGCCTCCCACACACCCCCAACTGGGGATCGAGCCCACAACCCAGGTATGTGTTCTGACCGGGAATCGAACCGGGATCTCCTGGATCCTAGGTTGATGCTCAACCGCTGAGCCACTCTCGGCTGGGCTGAATAATATTTTTTAAGTAAATAATGAGACAAATGACTATTGAGTCAGAAACAAAGAGAAATTGTTCCATTTTGTTTAGTTTTACAGATGCCGTTTAAATCTATTCCCCTAGTGGAAAATCATTCTTATTTTTGTTTAGAACAAAACTCACAAAGTTACACAATTTTAATCAGAATGTGAATAAAGTTATTAATTTTCATCAGTTCAATCATACTGCTCAACCCAAATCTTAGCAAATTGTAACGAGTAAAGAAGACATACATTATGAGAAGAATTATTGGCTATCTCCCAGTGGCGTAGATTCCATTAATTTTTGAGGTTTTTTAATTTGGACATTTGTTATAAATTTAAATCTCTATTCCATCATGAGTTGAGAAGCAGTGATCTGGGGAATGCAGGATCCACATTCTGGGGCACATAGTTATTTTATCGGGGTACCCAGTATCTTTGAACACATCCTGTGTCAGAGAATTCCCTTCTTTGTGCATCTGCACTTCCCTATTGGAGGGCCAGAAATGTGCTTTCCAAGCTTATATTTCAGCGAGGGCTGTCCTGTGACCTTAGGCACATCAGACTAATCAGAAGGACCTGGAAGAATCTATTTTGGCAAATGCAGTCAGTTTCTAGAAGCAGCAGGAGTAGGATTCCAGCAGTAGTTCCAGCGTTGGAGGCCCAAGCTGGAGTGTTGGTGGCTGGGTTGCCTCCACCAGAGCAAATCTGTGGTGTGGTTAAGGCTTTATTCATAGGCACCTCCAAGCCTGATATAGTGGTGTTCAGGAAATTCTGTGGCCTTTATTAAATTCTTTTTCTGTCTAAACCAGCTAGACTAGGCTTCCATTGTTTTAAACAAAGAATCTGGAGGACTGTCGCCTCTGAACCTAGGAAAGGTATTAACCTCTCCTAAGTGTTGCATGAAAAATAAAATAATTTTCTTTTTGCCACTAGGTTTCTATTTTCAGCTAAACTATATGGCGTCCCCTTGGTAAGTAACCACTGGTACCATGATGCCCTTTATCGTGTGCTATCTTGCTGTACAAACTGTACAGCAACACATAGAATGCTAGAGAGAGCTTCTCTTCACCCTGAACCTTCCCTCCTTTCCCAGTGGAAGTTTCAGCTGAAATGTGTCCTTTGTGGGGTCATTTCCTTGCAACACATTCCCTGAACCTAGAATGTGAGAAGGGGGTACTTATACCTTTGCTTTCAGCCCTTTGCTTTAAGGGCATTCTGAGAAATAAGAGAAGTCCCATGTTGAATATTTATTAAAAGTTAATTTT